CCTTCCTTGGCCATGTAAATCATATTAGTGATGAACAAATTTTTTGTATTGATATTGGGATGTTGCTTTCTAGTTCTTATGCATGCTGGTTACTGCCGCCCTACTGCTTCACCACCTCCACCTGCTATCCAAGAGTTGCGTGCTACCATCCGTGTGCTGCCTCCACAAGATTGTAAGTCCAAATTCAGCTGTATCTTACTTTCCTACCATTCCAGTTACTGGAAAATATATGCCTCTGCAGCTCAGCTACATAAACAATAAACTCAGACTGCATGAGTAAAATAAAGCAGTATCGGAGCACTGCTTGGTGCATCGACCTGTTTGGATTTAAAACAAAGTAACCACTTATTCCGACAAATAAGCATTTAAATTGATTAAAAATTTAATAAAGTTTAATTCCGACGATTTGGGTTTTCTAGAATCACAACCCAGATTTGAACTGCACTGAATGGTTTGACCACAGTTTGCCTGAGCCAAAGATTTGGTTTTTTGGTTTCTTCATATTTTTGTGATATTCTTTATTCACTGCTACTCTATTTATGCTATTTCCTATTGGAAAACTGTTTTTATGCATCATTCTGACATTATAACATCAATGTTATTTTTAGGCTACACATCTAAACTTAGGAACAACGTTCGTTCCCGTGCCTGGGGGGCTGGAATCGGTTGTAGTTATCGAGTTGAACGGTGCTGCATTGTTAAGGTTACAAGTTTCTGATCTTTTTCTTTGTATCAAATTAGTTTTCGTAAGTGCGTGAAATACCCATAATGTTTTTTGATTTGCTTTGTCTTGATTTAAAATTCAATAAATGACTATAATGTTGTTTGCTTCTTACTTATTGTGTTGCTTACTATATTATAATTCAGAAAGGAGGTGGAACCATTGATTTGGAGCCATGCCTTACACATTCATCAACCGTGGAGCCTACCCTTGCTCCAGTAGCTGTAGAAAGGACGATGACTACTAGGGCTGCAGCTTCAGTATTTCCCGCCTTCTTTGTTCATCTAATTTCATGAAGTTAGAATTGTAGTTCTATGGTTTTTTTTTTTAATTTTTAATTTTTTTCATTTATTAAAATGGAGCTATTGTTATAAATTGTAGTTTTAATTACTCTGTGTAGCATGTCAATGCTCTTGCCTTACCAGAACTTTTATGGTATCTCACATTATTTGGCACTCCAGAGCTAGCAATCTATGGTCGCAATTGGGAAATAAGTTTATAGCTCTTAGAAAAATAATTATTTTGAATATCACAGTATTTGAACTATATGCATCTCTGTATGTGTGTGTATACTTTTTCTAGGCAGTAATATATTGTTGTGCAGGAATGCATGCACCTGTATGGTAATAATAATTAAATTGTAGAAAAAATT